AAGCAGAAGGATTGAAAAAATTGCAGTGTGTATTCTAGAGAAGAAGGAATTGAGGGAGACATGGCAACTGACTTCAAGTATGTACAAAGATACTTCAAAGAGGAAATGAATAATTACCTTATCTGTGGTGGAGAAGAAAAGAACTATCAGCCCATCAATAGTGCCTGTCACCACATGGGCAGTGAGGGGAAGACCAGTAAAAGGGCTGGCCTTCTGGTCAGTGAAATGGAAAATCGACCAAAAATACCAAGAAGTTGCAAGTATTTTTCACTTGTCTTCACTGTGATCACGGCTAGGTGAATACCTTAAATAACACCAATGACAAATGGGTAGAAAAGCTGTTACAGATTTCTAAGCGCTTAGGCAAAGTCAATGCTTTCAGACCAGTTAGGCTTGATGAAATTCATCCTGTGATGGTTGGAGAACTGGCTGAAGCAACGTCAGGCCACTGGCAGTTATCTTTGAGATCTCTAGAGAATGGAGACGTTCAGAAGACTGGAAAAGGCCAAATATATTGGCTATTAAAAAAAAAAAAAAAGGCTCTGAGGAATTACTGGCCAGCCAGCATTACTTTACTGCCTCCCCCTGTGATACTGGAACAAATAAACATCAAGCAGACAACTCACATTTTCCATTTGCCAGAAAAAGAAATCAAGTCAAACCAATCTGTCATGGTAGACTATCAGGCCTTGTGGATAAGGAAGTAACAATAGATGTTATATATTTTTACTCCAGTAAGGATTTTTACTGTTTCATCTGACAGTCTTACAAACAAGCTAGGGAACATGGGAAACCGGATCTACTGAAATCACTGTTAGGAGAGTCTGATGCTGCTTAGAAAACTCTAAGATTGGTTTTCAATGGTACGCTGTCTATCTGGAGAAAAGTAGTATCAAGGAGGAGTCCTGCAGAGATCTGTTCTCAGTGTGGTATTAATAGTTTCTTCAGTGATTTATACGGTGGACTAGAAAGCGTGTCTATTAAATTTGCGGACAACACTAATCCGAGAGGGGTTGCAATGTATTTGGAAGACATTAGTATTCAAATGATCTTAATCAGTGGGAGAAATGGCCTGAAGGAGTAGAACAACATTTAATAAAAGCATGTGCAAAGTTCTGCACTTGGAAAGAAATAATGAATTTCACAAAGTTAGGATGGGGAATAGCTAAGCAGAGACCTCCATTTTGTCACTGGTCCCCATCAGGCCCAGGACCTTCAGCAGAGTACTGGCTACCATCAAACTCAGACTGGCTGAAGGATGCAGAGTCCAGAATAGACTTTTCAGGAGCTGTACAATTGGCTTTTCTCGCCTCTCCAAGAGTTATTGAGGCCCCCCGATATTTCAGTTCTTACTGCCAAAATATTTACACTTCGCATGCAAGGGTCCATTG